TTTTTAAACAAATTGAGGTTTTTAAGTTACCTCCAATGGCCATGAGAGGATTTGCCCACCTGCCACGTCAAGGCAGACCCCTTGCAGGTGGGTCCTAACTCTAACCATTTACCTTGCTTCCTTGAGCTTCTGGCAAAGATCCATAATGAGACAGAAAGGGGTATTTTTTATATACACCCCCTATATATTATTAACCCTTAATAGCAAACACTGAGAAATACAGAGGATAAATGGAATATCCCTAAACAAACATTGAAAAAGATGCCACAGGCATTATGCACTGTGGCATATATGTATGGTGGCAATAAAGGGTTAAGCTGTCCTGTTGGTACAGTTAGGGAAAGTTTAGTGAAAGTTCATGTTGGGCAGAGTGGGACAAGTCACTGGGCAGATTTGGTGACATAGCTGTTGCTGGGGATAAGAGTTGGCTGGGGATAGGTTGCTGGCCATGAGTAAAAGAGCGGGAAGCCAGGTAAGTATAAAAGTGGCAGCGCAAGCGCAATCCCTGTCACCTGTTCCATCCGCAACATGTTCTCTGAACACCAGTTGTCCCATCTGGAAGAAATCCTGAGGTTGCCTAGAGAGACTGCTTAATTTCGGCGCCAGGGGCTTCCAAACCCTGACAGGTAGCCTCTGGTAGCAGCATCCTCCCCTACATACAGTCTAGAGCAGTGATGGCGAACCTATGGCACGCGTGCCACGGGTGGCACGCCGGGCCCTCTCTGGGGGCATGTGGCCATAGGTTCGCTATCAATGCAGAGTAGGCGCCTGCTTGCCCAAAACGTAAGGCGCCTACTCTGCTTTCTTGTCGGGAGGACCGGAAGCAGGGGGAGGGATCGAGGAACCAGCTCTCCTGTCCTCCCACGAGCTGTGTGGAGTGTTGCCGTACGTTACCATGGCAATGCTCCACACAGCATTGCGCGGGAAGACAGGAGAGCTGCAGGACCTGTCCTCCTGTCCTAGATACTTACCATCAGGGATGGCTGTGTTTCCCCCCCTCCTCTTCACCAAAGGTAAGAAGCCGGGGGGGGGGATACTGATTTAATATGTATTTAATACGTTAAATTTTTTTTAATGCATCTTCAACTCCCCCCGACACACAGCACCCCTACCCCCCACACACAGCACCCCTCCACCTACATAGCACTCCCACCCACACCCAGCACCCTACCCCCACACACACAGCACCCCTCCCCCACACAACACCCCTCCCCACACACACACCCCTCCCCATAGCACCCCTACCACCCTAGACACAGCACCCCCTACCCCTACACACAGCACCCCTATCCAGACACACACCACCCCTACCCCCCACACACAGCACCCCTACCCCCCACACACAGCACCCTACCCCCCCACACACAGCACCCCTCACACACCACAGCACCTCACACACAAACACATACACTGCACCCCTCAATGCAGTATATGTGTGCGTGTATTCAGCAGTCTTTATGTATTCAGCAGTATGTGTGTATTCAGCTGACTGTGTGTGTATTCAGCCGATTGCGTGTGTATTCAGCAGACTGTGTGTGTGTATTCAGCAGACTGTGCATTCAGCAGACTGTGTGTGTGTATTCACCAGACTGTGTACTCAGCAGTGTGTGTGTGTGTATTCAGCAATGTGTGTATTCAGCGGACTGTGTGTGTGTATTCAGCGGACTGTATGTTTGTGTGTGTATTTAGCGGACTGTGTGTGTATTTAGCAGTCTGTCTGTGTTTCAGTGTGTGTATGTATTAAGCAGTTGGTGTGTGAATGTGTTCAGCAGTCTGTGTTGTCAAGATATTTATGTTGGCAGACATTTTGTGCTAAGATAGAAATTAAAAGTGTATATTGCCAGAGTAACTCAGAACAAAGTGGACTCCATTTTGCTATCTTGAGGCAAGACAGACACAAAAATGTATTTCCTTGCTTTCAGTAACACTAGCCATCAGCCTGAGCTAAGGAATGCATTATGTAAACAAGCCATGTGATAAACAATGAAGCAGGGGGATAGAATGATCTGTTTAAATATCAATGGAATAGAAATAATTTTAAACACAGACACTAGTGACAGAGAAGAATAAGTAATTAATTTTACTTTCTAAATCTTACAAGGTCCCATTGTAAGTAAGGGGTGAAATTGAGTTTAGACATGTCAATCCTAGAAATTACGATCAAAGTCGTTGCCACAAAGACTCAGGGAAACGCTCTGAACTGACAGCAAATTTAAGTTATGGTAGTCATTCTAGATAAGCCAAATGACGTCAGAATCATCATCAAAATAAGTTAACTCTTTCGAGGACATAAAATTTTGATGAGGCAATTGCGCCCTCTATTGACCAAAAACTAGATAATACTAGATAACGTAGACACACCTACAGTTTCCTATTGGCCTTATCAACTAATGACGTACAGAGAGTCTGGCCCTTTAAAAGTTAGGACAAAGGGAAGAGAGAGTGAGTTTTGGGCTTTCAGATTCAGACATTCAGAGAGATCCAGGACACTCTGGGACTAATACTCAACTCTCAAACTCTCTTGGACACAACTCAAGAAACACTTAGACTCCTTGACACTTAGATTTTTACTATCACTTTCTAACCAACACCACTTTTCTCTATTACTTACACACCTTCATACAACCAATCATACCCGCATTCAAGTTCCTGGGACTACCTACTCATCTGATGAGAACATCTACATCATAACTGGTAATTATGCTGGTTTTATTTAATTAATCTAAATTAATTAAAATCTATTAATAGCAGGATACATGCATGGATAAATCACGATCAGATCCCATAATTGAGGAGTCTTAATTAAATAAAGAATATGTAGTTATAACACTCCATTCTGCAGGTGGAGTCACATAATTACATAGTACTGGTATCTTACCACGTGTTAGCATACTGCTGTTTTTATCCAGGTGTTTTGATTTGCTCTGAAATAAGATAAGATATATTTTTAGGCAAATTACATTTCGGCTTATAGAATCTGTAGATTTGACTCTTTTGGATGGTTCCAGGAAATGATTAATGAGCTGGTTTGAATGTTATTTTAATTGAAAATTACGTGAGAATAGGTTATTATATGCCTAGGAGGATCTAGCCAGCATTGGAAGGGTTACTCAGTTGATCTGACTGTGAGCCGAGATTTTATGGCTTTTCGCTGTGCTGTGTGAAGTTTTGCTTTCTGTGTCTGTGAAGTACCCTCATAAATCGTGTAAGTCTTGACAGTTGATGATGTAGCTTTGTACTATGTTTAGCCATTGCCATTGTATACGACGTTATAGTAAATATTCACTGATTATTATCATGCATGCATTTTATTTGTCACAATAAATTATATCTATTTTTATAACAAATTGTGATTTTATTTGTATGGAATACATTTCACTTACATGATAACGATCTCTAAGATCTAAGAGAATTGAAATAGTGGGCAATTCTCAACTGTAAATATTATTATCCCATAAATATCCCCACAGTGTGTATGTATTGCATTTGTTGGAAATACTAAT